CTGGAAAACTTCTCGATGATAAGCAAGATGTCCACCGTCTTATACACCCATCTGTAGATCATCTGCCACATCCTGCACCCATCTTCTGTATGGCCTCCCTCTTCCTTTCTTCCCAGGCATATACCTCTCTCCATTATTGTTCTCTCTAAACTTTCGTGACATTTCAAGTGACCAAAATATTTCAGTTTTCTGTGTTTTATCATCTTTATAGCCAACATTCTTCAATATTCAGTTCTTGAAATATGGATGCATTTGTTCTTTTCTTTACCCATGATATCTTAGAACCCGTCTATAACATTTGTATTCAAAAGCATTTATGAGCTGTCTAGCTTGTTTAGTAAGTGTCCAGGTCTCACTGGTTGCAATAGGAAAGATGCATGCTCTTAGAAATCTAATTTTTGTAGTTCTGTCTGTCCCACTTCATAATTTATTCAGTTGTTTTAATCTCTGAAGAGCAATTGATAGTCGCCATTAAGTTTCTTTGTGTCACCATTTTTGGTAATCAGTGACCCAAGATATTCAAGATTTTTCCACAACCTCCAATCTTTCCTCATGATCATATATTTCTTTCTTCATATTAGTTTTATCTGTATGTACTATCTTTGTTTTTGCTATATTAAGATATAAGTTGTGGTTTTCACTATTTCTTTAGGTAAATCAGTCTGTGATGTGGATAGCAATACTGCATCATATTGCTCTCTGGTTATATCATCTCTGACATTTCTCATTATATTTTTGGTGTACAGGTTAAACAAATAGGGTGACACCACACAGCCCTAACGGACTCCTTGCTTGATATCAAATCAGTCTGATGTCTTGCCATCTATTCTAACCACTGCTTGTTGGTCTAGATAGAGCATTGTTTTGAGATGTACTACATGTGATGGAACACCCATATTTCTCTTATTTCCCAAAGTTGCTTATATTGTACACAGTCAAATGCCTTTGAATAATCCACAGAACATGAGAATAGGTTTACATTAAATTCTCTAGACTTCTCTATTATTAAATGCATGTTGAGGATGTGAAATCTTGTTCCTGTTTCTGGTCTAAATCCAGCTTGAACCACGTTAATCTTTTCTTCCATTTTCTTACGAAGTCTTCCAATTGTGATTTTTAGCAGGATTTTACGGCATGGAATCCAAGCTCATTGAAAAATATCTGTCCCAGTGCAGATTTGAACCCAAAACCGACAGGTTGTAGGACAAGCATCTAGCTACTGCAAAAATCCTTTTTTCATCTCATCTTGAAATTCTTCTTGTTCATCGATATAACATTCAAAGTACATTCATCTGAGATGCACATTTAACATACATTCATATGAGTTGCAGATTTAACTTACATTCATATGAGCTGCACATTTAACATACATTCATATGAGTTGCACATTTAACATACATTCATATGAGTTGCACATTTAACATACATTCATATGAGTTGCACATTTAACATACATTCATATGAGTTGCACATTTAACATACATTCATATGAGTTGCACATTTAACATACATTCATATGAGTTGCACATTTAACATACATTCATATGAACTGCACATTTAACATACATTCATATGAGTTGCACATTTAACACACATTCATATGAGCTGCACATTTAACATACATTCATATGAGTTGCACATTTAACATACATTCATATGAGTTGCACATTTAACATACATTCATATGAGCTGCACATTTAAAATACATTCATATGAGCTGCACATTTAACATACATTCATATGAACTGCACATTTAACATACATTCATATGAGCTGCACATTTAACATACATTCCCAGAAAGAACAACAGTGGAACGTAAACTCTATGGACCACTGAATGAACTAACAACGACAGTGAAATTTATACAAGAGACAAAACTGCTGATATAGACAACTTATTTCAGGCGAACGAAAGAAGAAGAAGAAGAACATACATTCATATGAGTTGCACATTTAACATACATTCATATGAGCTGCACATTTAACATACATTCATATGAACTGCACATTTAAAATACATTCATATGAACTGCACATTTAAAATACATTCATATGAACTGCACATTCATATGAGTTGCACATTTTACATACATTCATATGAGTTGCACATTTAACATACATTCATATGAGTTGCACATTTAACATACATTCATATGAGTTGCACATTTAACATACATTCATATGAACTGCACATTTAACATACATTCATATGAGTTGCACATTTAACACACATTCATATGAGCTGCACATTTAACATACATTCATATGAGTTGCACATTTAACATACATTCATATGAGTTGCACATTTAACATACAGTCATATGAGCTGCACATTTAAAATACATTCATATGAGCTGCACATTTAACATACATTCATATGAACTGCACATTTAACATACATTCATATGAGCTGCACATTTAACATACATTCCCAGAAAGAACAACAGTGGAACGTAAACTCTATGGACCACTGAATGAACTAACAACGACAGTGAAATTTATACAAGAGACAAAACTGCTGATATAGACAACTTATTTCAGGTGAACGAAAGAAGAAGAAGAAGAACATACATTCATATGAGTTGCACATTTAACATACATTCATATGAGCTGCACATTTAACATACATTCATATGAACTGCACATTTAAAATACATTCATATGAACTGCACATTTAAAATACATTCATATGAACTGCACATTTAACATACATTCATATGAGTTGCACATTTAACATACATTCATATGAACTGCACATTTAACATACATTCATATGAGTTGCACATTTAACATACATTCATATGAGTTGCACATTTAACATACATTCATATGAGTTGCACATTTAAAATACATTCATATGAGCTGCACATTTAACATACATTCATATGAGCTGCACATTTAAGATACATTCATATGAGCTGCACATTTAAGAAACATTCATATGAACTGCACATTTAACATACATTCATATGAACTGCACATTTAAAATACATTCTTATGAACTGCACATTTAAAATACATTCAAATGCACTGATCAAGTTCCTGCTAGGCAATGGTTTAATAGAGTTGCTCTAATGCTTTGCTCCACACACACAAAAAATGTCACATTTAACAAACAAGGATGAAGGGGGAGCTTTAGATTATAATTGTGACTAGGTCATATGTGCCATATAAATTAGCTTAGCATTGCACACCATCAAAAGACCTGAAAAAGACTTCTGCCTTGTTGATGTGATCAATGGAGACAGACCCAAATACTGTCCTGTCTGTCGACGAAGTGGTCTACTGGCCAGCCAATGGGGGACCTGGTGGCCGATGTATAAATAGAGTGTTGACACTGAAGTATCTAGTTCTGTGTTTGCTCTTAAAAGGTCAGTTGGTAAGTCGTGTTGTGGTTTCTGGTCTGGTCTGGTAGTCCTAGTTTCAGTTTCACAGCAAATGGGTCACCCCATCTTTGCTCCGCTCCCGTGCCAACGAAAAACACAGAATGTTTATCACAGTCCCTTGTGGAAAGATTGACAGACTGCTGTCTCAGCATATCTAGCATACACTCACATTAAAGCATATGGTAGCCATCCGAAGTGCTAACATAAACAGTCCGACATTAGAAATGCAGTTCATCATTGATGGTAGCAGAAGTCACCAACAGATCTGCAGTTGCCTACGCGATCAATTTTAATCACATACGGGCACCACCAAAATTGTGACGACAGGCATCACGCCATTTTCTGAATCTCTAATTCACACCACCACGTTGGTCACAGTCGAAAAATCATTCCAAATGAAATCCGCAGCTCACAGTGTCACGCCATGCATTCAGCTCAGAAGCTGAGCGACGAAACTTTATCCAGTCTACAAATGGAACAAAAATGCATCTGCCACCGTCCGGCAGAAGCAAAAATCCTCGGCTCCAAAAACAGTGGCCCGCCTAGCGTCCATTTTGACCGTGTTGTGGTTTCACTCTAAGCTGCAATTTCTGTGCCTTTTGGCCCAACACAGCCAATTTAAGCAAATCCTTAGTCACCTTTCATTTTTGACAGGCTTGTTAAAGTGGGGCTGGGTTAAAGTGGGGCAGTGGGTTAAAGTGGGGCAGTGGGTTAAAGTGGGGCAGTCGGTCCACAGAGCAGATAAGTGTTTCAATTTATTTATTTGTTCAGTAACCTTGCACACACCAGAAAGTTAATATAATTGTTTCATTTCATTCATTCAATAATCTGAGAAAGAGAGAGACACACGCGCACGCTCCCACCCACCCACGAATGCACACAGCACCCAGTGCACCCTCACACACACACACACACACACAATTGTTACAATCTGTTTATTCAATAATCGAACACACAAAAGACAATTTTTAACATTTATTTACTTGTTTAATAACCTAACACACACCAGAACAATTTTAACATTTCTTTGTTCATTCAGTAACCTAAGATGTGCACGACAATTGTTACACCTTTGTTAGCATGATGTCTAACAGGAATATATATAACTGGAAAACCAATCCATTCATCATTTGGAAGTGACAGGTTCGAGTCCTGAAATGGGGATGCTTTTTATTTTTATGTAGTCAAGTATCTCCTTTTGTCTCTGATTCAGTCTGTGAATGCTAGTCAATAAATGTGAATTTGTTTATCATATTCATCTAACAACACGCTGGAAAAGGGCATCTGACATGCGGAGGCATAATATCAGGAGGATTTAAAAAGCAGTGCAGAAGAAATGAAGAGATAAAGCAACATGGCTGGAGTTGATTGAACCCACTGTTCCAATAGGAAAGGGGGTGGGGGAGGGGGGGGGGGGATAAAAGAGGGGAACAATTTTGAGTTAATTGTCATTACTTCTCTTTAAGAAAAGAAGAAGAGGTTAAAAAAATGTAAACAAGATGACAAAGGAGAAACTGTAAGTTATTGTCAGTTTTATTTTAAGAAAGAAGAAGGGGAAGAAAAATACGAAGGAAAGAACATGCAGAGGAGGGTGAAATTAAACATTATTGGTCATTATTTCTCTTTAATAATTCTCAGTTCATTAACGCCACTACTCCTCTTCCGGATCATAAAATTGAACCTGTCCTGAAGGCTGGGTTTGTTGTGTCCCAGAGTCCCGTGGTGAATGCTGCCGGAAACTGTGTTTGCCCTGCTGCCGGTTACTGAGGAGAAGACATTCTCCACATTCAGAAGTGATCGCAAGCCAAGGAAAGCAAAAATTAGGGCTTCTTTGTACTCCACCAGCTCATTTTCTGTGTCTACAATCTGCAAAGGGATAGATAATTTACATTTTTTGGGCTAAAAAATGCATTGAAAGAGTAGCAAAAAGATGAGTCAGTGTCCCACTACTAAATATTTCTTTTTTTTTAATCACCACTATAATCCCCTGTCCTAGTGTCGGGACACAGTTTTGTGTGTGTTATTTTAGCCTCACCCCGACTTTCGGGGGCTATAAATATAACCTACGGTTGAACAGGGTTTCTGGAACTTGCGTATGGGTGATTCTCATCTGAATGGTGGCACTTTGTGTCACTGGGTTTTTGTCGCTGATTGGGTGGTCCCTGGGGGGGGGGGGGGGGGGGGGGGGGGGGGTTGAACGTCAGTATTCATCACTGTCATGTTTCAAAAGGAATGTCTGTGCTTGAAACAAATTATAGATTAAGGAGAAACTATTCTTTCTAATATTTGTTTAAATTATGGCTCTTGCCTTTCACAATCTTTTGTGGCTAGTATTCATTTCCTGTACTCACACATGCCTCAGAGTTTCAAGTGGCCAGACAGACGGGTGGATTTTTTTAAAGACCTCAGTCAGTGATTTTGTGTATTCTTGTATGTAAATGCAACGTTAATTCATGTTGTTGTATGTTGAATTAAGAATCAACATCACAGCACTCGGGGCACTCCCATAAGTGCCCCACCCCCATCTTCAGCAGCAAACGAAGAGTTCCAATTCTGATGGCACCAGTAACCGTCTGATTGTATATCCATCTCCTCCTTTCCCTGAGTGTTGAGTGCCTGGCTAGATCCCCTGGTAAATCCTCACAGTGCTTTTCTCCTCAGACTGTAATATCTATTTGCATCTCCACACTGTTCACTCGTACCCAAATAGCACTCAAAATACCTAGCTTGTTATACATCAATTCACCACCAATTTGGTGCAGAGCCAGTCAGTCTATCTTCCTGCTCATTTCCTAACACAGCTGCATGACCCAGAGAAAATATCCAAAGGATGCTAACCACCGGGTACCTCTGAAGTGATGCTTGCTACTCTGCACAAAGCCTACCTGTTTTCACTTTTCTCAACATGTGCAGCAAAGACTGCCTCCACCTCCATTCTCAAACTAGACATTGTGATATTATATGCAAGGCTTTGCTGCATTAAGTGACGTCCATTCACCTCAGATATGAACTTCCATGCACTTCGTCTGCCTCTCAACACAGAGCCATCTGTATAGATAATCACATCACATTGGCGGGAATTGTCATGTATCATTTGTTGAACTTCTGATTCTGCAGCGCCAGCTGGCCTTACTTACTTACGACCTAACATGATTAGAACCCTACACAAGTCTGAAACTTGTTCGGACACCTTGACCCACTCCTCTCCTCACTCAACATTGTCAAGCCTGCACGCACGTCCAATTGTGTTTATTCATTCAATTATTGAATTATTCATGTCGTATGTTGATGAAGGCTTTCTAGCTGCAATCAGGGCTGCCAAAGTTGGTACTTTTGTTCAAAAATAGCTATCAGTGCTGTGCACTCTTGCACACCGCCAGTGTTTGTAGCCAGTGATCCAGAGATAAATGTTCCTGAAGAAAGCTGAAGTCAGTAAATGAATAATCATGTCAGAGTCCACCAAAATAGGGACCTGGAACCCACCCGACGAGGAATTTAATAACTCATTTCAGCTGTTTTTAATTCTTTTACTCATTACTGTTGTTTAAAACTGAATAACTCATTTCAAATGATTAAAATCTTCTTCTTTATTTGTCTTTTTGCTTATACCGCAAAGCGTCACAGAGAGGATCTTAAACCACAGATGTTTTGTGTAGCTATTTTAAATGTCGAGCTTGATATTGGCCCTGAGTGTTGCTACTCTGCTTTGATGGTTTTCTCCCATTCTTATCCTTAAATATACGTATGAACAGATTCTGATTAAATTTAAAAAACACAAATTTGATTGTGTGGTTTTTTTTTTTTTTTTAAATTTCTCATCTTGTTACTAATTTTAACTGTTTAAACAAACTGAGTTAAGTCGCTCATTTAGCTCCATGTGTGGGTTCTGGGGTCATATTTTGGCAGGAAAAGAGAACAGACCCACTGGTCATTAACAAGCATGCTATACAAGTGACTAATTAAGGGTTTACTAAAATCAGATGTGTTTGGGCGGACAGCACAGATATTGCAGTCTAGCTGCAAACCACAATGCATTATGCCAATTATCCTTTTGAGGCTAGCACAGGAAAAGAAAAAGACTAATTTCAGCTGTTTCAAATATAGTCATTCTGTTCAGAAGTTCTGCGTGAAGTGCCATGGCCCCATTGTAGGAAAAACAAGAACAGACCCAGTGCCTACACAAAATCATGTTGTAAGAGTCGATTAATTGGGGACATCCTTCAAAGTCATAGTGCATCTGCCTGAGAAGCAAGGAACAAACAGTATGCATTCAGATGAGTCAGATCTGTTTAACAGATTTGCATGCAACACTCAGGTTCTGGAACAAGACTCAAGTCCATGGGGGGATGAACAACCAGAGCTTTCGACTGGATTTGACAGCCAGTGAACGTGTAGAAGAAGTAAATTTCAGAAGATTTTTACTCAGATACTCATTTTACATGCTTTTTTTATTGTTTGGTCAAGACACGAATAATAAATTGGTGTTAAAAATGACATCACCATGAAACCTACCTTAATGTTATGTTTCTTCAGTTTTGCTTTTAAATTATTTATGAGAGTGCAGTTGTAGGCTCCGCCCCCTGTTACAAGGACAGTGCCGTGACTTTTGTTGATGGCTTTGACACAAGCATCTGAGACATGTTGTGAGATGTGCTCCACACAAGTCTGCAGCAGATCTGGGATTGAATGTTGGTCTGTCTGCAATTTTGAAAAAAATAGGGACTGTTAACAATATTAGTTCATCATTCTCATCCTCATTATCACCATGATAATCACCAACACTACCATGTCTGTCATTTTCACCATAATCAAATCACCATTATCATCACCATAAGATCACCATTCTCACCATTGTCATTACAACATGGTTACCCCTGATAAACCATCATCAATATCATCCACTCTGCCATCTCAATTAACCTCATTTAGTAGTAATTTAATAATAGATATCCCATTTAACCCATCTGGGTATAACTGGGATTCATGTAATTTTGTCTCGACATTTGTATTGTATGATCATCAGATTGAACAAATGAACCTTTTTTTTCCAAAGAGTTATAAACTACATTTGAACCTACCAACTACTCATCTTTCAAACAGCAATTGTATTTGATCTATAAAACATTTAATGTCCATAACACAAAATATGAATATTAAGAACATATACAAAACTCATGGATGACATGATTATGTTCATTTATACCTGTATGTTTATATGCATGAGTAAAAGAGAGTGCATGTGCTGTTTCTTCATTCAGTACTGCTACTGATGCTTTGACACACTAAGACTTCTTCTTCTTCTTCTTCTTCTTCTTCTTTTTCTTCTTCTTCTCTTCCACCTTGTACCTCAGCAAAGTGTCGGGGGATTTGAAACATTCGTTAATGAGCTCTGTCAAGGAGCACTATTAAGACGTGTTCATTTCTGTAAGGCTGTTCTAAATGCCATCACTCCATATTTTCTGAGGTCTTCCACTCACTTTATAACCGCTGTAAGGTTTTAGTGTGGCTCGCTGTGGTAGATAGTACCAGGGCATTCTTGTTAGGTGTCCAAACCACTTCTTTTGTTGTTCTTTGATGACTGTAAGACTGGCTTTATTCCTAGCATTCGTCTGATTTTGTGATTTCATATTACACTAAGACTGCACAATCTAAATCTGACCGGCTGACTACCAGCACAGATCCAGATACTCCATTCAACTTTTGAGGATGTTATAATTGGGGCACCTGCCTGGCATAGCCTGTAGTTCTTTAAGGCTAGGGAACAATACAGGATGAACAAGACAGACTGTTACCTTAAGTAATGGCAGCAGATTCTGGGACACCCACTCATAGCCCAGTGACTTGGGTCCCCTCTGCTGGTAGAAGTCCAGCTGGTCAAGCTGCTCCAGGACATCAGGCAACACTTGACCAGTCGCTGCCAGCTGACCATTGCGGTCAAACTGCAGGTCAGGGTCGTGGAGAGTTGCGAGATGGTTTAGCAACATGTTACAAGGGCACACATCAAAGCCTTTGTCTCCCTGAAAAATACCAAGCGAATGTTACATCTAGTTAAGACAAGCTCCAGCTGATGGGTCAAGCTGCTGACATCACCAAACCAGGCTAACCATATGCTAACACAGCATTTCTCACTTTTTCATCAGGCAAAACCAAAAAAACCAAAACAAAACAAAAACAAAAAACGTTTTGTGGCACACCTACCCTTAAAGTGGTTTGAATACTTAAGAGAAGAAGAAGAAAAAAAAAAACCAGTGCAAATTTAATGTCAAGCAGATGTGGAAAATTTCTTGATTTTTGCTGTGGCACCCCTGACATATGCACACGGCACCCACTTTGAGAATCACTGCGTTAACATATCGTTAGCCTGGTTTAGTGGCGTCTGCAGCATGTCCCGTCAGCTGGAGCCAGTCTTGATCTAGGGCATGATTGTTTTTTCTAGGGGGAAAAAGGTGCTAGTAATCAAAAGTGTCTACAAATAGGTACCAGTTAAAAATAACAAGGTAAATGTTGAGTGGATAAACATCATTACACCATGTTTGATCTCATACGGCTCTGTCCCTCTCCTGGCTAGCCACCTGCTAAGAGCATCGCATAAAACAAAAATACCATATCTCCGGTGAGGATCTCCAGGAGTCTTCATAAACTCTGCACTCGTACACTTAGTGACACAGCTGTGAAATGAGCCCACAAACTTCAGATCACAAGGTTAAAGGCTCGACCACTCTGCCTCACCACAAAGTATCTATTACACCAGCACTAGGCAAAAATATGCCCAATAGGTGCCGGTACTGCATACCATTGCATACTGCCTAAAAACAAAAAATGCCCTAGTTGCATCCATGTTGGAAGTGGATGTTGCTGCACTCTAACAAGATACAAAAACTATTTGATCTTCTTTTTCTTAATTATTTGTTCTTTTACAATCTGTTAGATTGTAACCAGGATAACGTTTAATGCTGAGGAGGAGATCATGTCCGAAATGTGATGAAGATGATCTTTAAAATGAACATTGAACAATGACACTTAGTGCACCAAAGCCTAGCAAGTGATACTACAACATCTAGCAAATGATGCTACAACATCTAGCATATGATACTACAACATCTAGTATATGATACTAAAACATCTAGCATATGATACTACAATATCTAGCATATGATACTACAACATCTAGCATATGATACTACAACATCTAGCAAATGATACTAAAACATCCAGCATATGATACTACAACATCTAGCATATGATACTACACCATCTAGCATATGATACTACAACATCTAGCATATGATACTACAACATCTAGCATATGATACTACAACATCTAGTATATGATACTACAACATCTAGAATATGATACTACAACATCTAGCATGTGATACTACAACATCTAGTATATGATACTACAACATCTAGTATATGATACTACAACATCTAGCATTTGATACTACAACATCCAGTATATGATACTACAACATCTAGTATATGATACTACAACATCTAGCATTTGATACTACAGCATCCAGTATATGATACTACAACATCCAGCATATGATACTACAACATCTAGCATATGATACTACAACATCTAGTCTGAGAATAGAGGTGTAGTGGTCACAACAGCTTTTTGCTGGCTTGAGAGCCAGCTGCATACACATGATGTGATTGTAACTGACTCAAAATGCATGGTAAGAAAGGTGAAGACGTGTACACTGCATGCAGAGCAGCAAGCATCACTTCAGAGGTCCCATGTGCCTAGTGTTTGAATTGTTTCCTCTGGGGGATGCAGGTGTGTTGGGAATTGAACAGGCAAACAGATTCACTGGTTCTAGACCACTCAGTGGTGAACTGATGCATGTTGAGCTAGGTGTGGTCGGGGCCCTCTGGAAGCAAGTGGACAGTGCAGAGGCACACACCCATCATTATGGTTCGAAGAGAACGGTACACCTAGGAGTGACCACTAGGAGTGACCAGCGGTCCTGATCGATCCTGCACTAAGTGGAAAAGCAAAAAGGATATACAATTAAACTGCAATAGGCAGCACTGAAATTGGAACTGTTTGCTGGCTGCTGAAGATGCAGACTTAGCACTTATGGTAAATGTCCCAAGTGTTATTATGTCAGTTCTTAACACAGAACAGGTCAGCTTGGTCTCAGACTAGGAACGAGGGCAGATAGCATTTCATTTCATAAGTGTTGATTTTGTTTATGATAATAGTTGGAACTGGTAGTATAGGACTAATGTAAATAACATATGGCCATGAATCATGGATAATTGATATTTAGTCCAAATAATTTCTTCAGGCCTCAGAGGCATGGTTTTACAGAAGAATCCTTAAAGTTCTCTGCAGTCACAAAGAGCAACCCAGATGTTTTGAAAAAACTATTCCCCCACCCCAAACTTGGCCCCAGAACTCACAGGGGTCCATTTGACTTGATATTTTTATTTGCAATGTACTTTTAATATGAAAAAAACTAGCTAACCTTGCAACCGACATTGGCAATGCCACCAAGGTTGATACACATGTCCGTCTGCTGGAAGAGAAAGCGCTCCCCGCACGGAACAAGTGGTGCCCCCTGGCCTCCCAGGGCTACATCTTTGGTCCGGAAGTTGCACACGAATGGGCACCTTGGAAAATTAATCGTTTATGTTTCAGTATTCTGTGTGCTACTTGAAATAACCAAAATTGCTTAAAATTTAACAAATTATTCTTAGAGTAAATTTACTGTAGTAGTGCAGTGGCTAAAACGCTTGCCTGCTGATATGAAATAGTTATTTAGGACCAACTTTGTTGGATTGCCATCTAGGATGCAAATCTTGAAGTCACGAGCAATTAAACTTCTTTTTAGCAGCCAGGAAAGGCAAGGGAGGGGGCCGCCATGGTTTAGTGGCTAGACGCTCACCTGCAGATCGGACGGTCATGGGTTTAAATCCTAATGGAGCCAGATTTGTATTTTGAAAATTGACCCTGGCTCCCAGGTTGACCCAGCTTTGAGTGGGTACCAGGTGCAGTCCTGGGAAGTAAAGGTGGCCAGTATGATGTTGACCAAATCACCCACCGAGTTGCAGCTGGTCTATAAAATGTAGGTTCCAACCCTATATGCCCAATACACCTAAAGGTGTGGAAAAGTCCTTTACTTATAGCAGCCTGGAGACAAAAAACAGACAGACAATATACACTAACCCTATATATGTAGAGATGATCTCGCCCTCTCCCAATTGTAATGTGACACCATTCTCTGGCTGATGAAAGACAGTATGGCCGTGGGAGGCCACAAAATCTGGTCGCAGATCTTTGCTGTCTATAAACTTTTGTACACACTGTCCAACAAAATGGCTGTAGTCACTTTGTAGTTTGATCAAATCCTGTCAACAAATAAACCAGATCTATTAAATTGATGTGTATGCAAAGTTCACTTTGTGGAACAAGACCAAAGTCCAGATGTGGACGAAACAACCAGAACTGTCCACCTTTGTAACAGACAAGAACTGTAATGAGTTAGAACGTTCTTTACAGAAAGGTATAGAAAATTTCATAAAATTGAGCAATGATACTCACATGCAAATTAACATAAATAAAACTAAATCTATGACAATAACAAATAGGTAAAAGCTACAAACATTAGCTTTACACAAGCTACCGCTTGAGCTCCCAATCGACAAACTACGTATTGTTAATGTAGTTGAACATAAAATATTAGATGTTTTAACTGACAGCCATTTAACTTGGTGTTCCCATGTTCATGCCATGAGCAACAATACAGCACAAAAAGTTTACCACCTTGGCAAAATTCAGCACTTTCTGGACCAAAAAAAAATGTACAATATTTTACGTATCCTACCTCTAAACAGACATTGACTACATTGACTACTGTTCCACAGTTTGGGATGATTGCCCCAAATCTAATGTCAAAGACTATGTTGTCTACAAAATCGGGCCTTACGTCTAGTCTACGACAGAAACTATGTTAAAAAATCTCTTATACCATTTAGAAAACATTTTACGTTTAATTTTTAACAAAGCAAAATTCATTTTAAAAATCTTATATCAAAATACTCCAAGTTACATTGTTCCATTGATTAAATCTAATCCTATAAATAGCAAGCAATTAAGTTTATTACATTTGCCTAAACCTAAAATTGATTTATTTAAAACAAGTTTAGCATTTTCTGCAGCTCATTTATGGAACCATCTTCCACTCAGTTTGAAAATTACAGAGAGTACCTACTAATTTAACCGCAAACTAGCTACAGTTTGTTTTTAACAATATTTTTCTTTAAAATTGTATATTTTTTACTTTTACTATTCTCTGCGCTGACTGACTGACTTTCTACCCCACCAGGACATCACACAAGCGATAAGCACCCGATGACACAAAGTGCCACCATGTGTATGAAGATCGCCGTGGAGAGGTCCCAGAAACTGCGTTCAGACAATTGGCCATATTTATGGCCTGCCTATATTGCGGCCCTTGGGAAAAGCCAGGGTGGGGCTTCAAATAACAAAAAATTTCGTCCTGAAAAAGACGAAAGGATTAAGGTATAACCATATTCTTTCTCTGCGCTTTCATTTGAAATGATAATATACATATTTTTAAAAAGGTAATAACTAGGTGAACATTCAGTTTTGACAAAAATGGGAGTCGCGACAGAATACTGGTGTTTTCCACTGTTGGCGCTGCTTACCCATTGAAGGTAAAGTAAAAGTAAAGGACCCGTTTCCATGCCTTCAGGTGTAATGGGTATATATAATTGACCTATATTTTAAAGACCAAACGGCACTTGGTGAGTGGTGTGGTCAACAGCACTCAGATCGCCTTTATTTCATGGAACTGCATCTGGTACCCATTCAAGGCTGGGTTGACCTGGGAGCCAAGGTCATTTTTGACAAATGTCTGACCCTCGTCAGGACCCGAACTCATGACCTTCTGACAGACAGTATAATTACAGTATACTTACAATTCTGACAGACAATATACTTATAATTCTGACAGACAGTATACATATAATTTTGACAGACAGTATACTTACAATTCTGACAGACAGTACACTTACAATTCTGACAGACAGTACACTTACAATTCTGACAGACAGTACACTTACAATTCTGACAGACAGTACACTTACAATTCTGACAGACAGTATACTTAAAATTCTGACAGACAGTATACTTACAATTCTGACAGACAGTACACTTACAATTTTGACAGACAGTACACTTACAATTCTGACAGACAGTACACTTACAATTCTGACAGACAGTATACTTACAATTCTGACAGACAGTATACTTACAATTCTGACAGACAGTATACTTACAATTCTGACAGACAGTATACTTACAATTCTGACAGACAGTATACTTACAATTCTGACAGACAATATACTTACAATTCTGACAGACAGTATACTTACAATTTTGACAGACAATATACTTACAATTCCTGACAAGCCGATGCCATTTGCCAGCCGTTCCTGCATGTCCCTGTTGTAAGGTACAGTAGCCGCGTGTTCAATCCTGTATCCCCAGATATCAGTCTCCGAGTCGCCGGTGAATTCAGCAAAGCAGAGGTCAAGGCCATCCAGCGATGTACCCGACATGATTCCTATACCGTGGTAGGTTGTCATCTTGTTGGGCAGAGGATTTCACTTATAGAAATCCCCGGGAACAAGAGGAAAAGTGTCTGTAGCAATAGAAAGAAAAAGGTTAAATATCCTTTACAACATTGTTAATTTTTTAGATTATTTTCATCGCACATCGGACTTAACCATATGTGCTCCGATCTTCTGCTGAGTATGCCTCCAAGTGTTTTTAGGCTAACAACTCCCATTCTGTTCTGGCTGATGTAATGATGGGTGGCTCTCGCATGGTGCATGGTTTTCCTGTCTCACCGCTCCAGTTGGCACACGCAGGGTATGCAGCCTATTCAGTACAAAATAATTTTCCATGAAACTGGAAGCCCCGCAGCGTTTAGTCTTTCGTATGGCACTGATGACGTCTCTCCTGTCTATAGAGGGCCTATTCCTGATAGTCAAACCGCCAGCCAGAGCGTCCGCGCTCTCATTGCCTCTCACACCAGTATGCTCTAGGGCAACTATGTAGGTGATTTTGCGAAACGCTGCGTGCTGTATCAGATGCAGCTTTTTCAACATACTGTATGTGGCACCTTTTTATCTTTCCAGATGACAGTGCTGAATTGTGCAGTATGGATGCATGGGAAATAGAAGCCTTGACGCTGGCAGATATTGTTATTTCGTAGAAGAGGTTGAACTCGATTTTTTTTACCCAACAGTGATTAACCAAGGTGTATATCCTTAGGGACTCTATGCATCCTTCCTCCTTCAGTGTGACCTAGCTTCTTCTTCTTCTGCCTTTCTATCCCCAGATGGAGCATAGGCCCTTAACCAACTCACGCCAGGTCGTTCTATCCTTCGCTATTGCATGCTCTCCCCATGTCCTCCCCATCTTTCTAACTTCATTCTCCAGCTCTCTTCTCCATGTGTTTTTTGGCCTTCCTTTATTCCTATGCTCCTGTGGGTTCCAATGCAAAGACATCCTTTGCTACTTCCATTGTTCTCCCCATATCATAAAGAGTTCTAACATTCCAGGTGCCAATTCTGGAGGTTTTCCTTGCTGAGAGGAGGTACGTCAACGATCCGGACTCCTTACGGCTTTCTCCACACCGTGTCATACTTCTTCTATTTGAAGAGCCTCCCCTCATCTTGGTTGGCAGGATTTTATTTGCTTCTCTTTTTGACTTATCCATGGTTGGTTGGTTTTTGTGGCTATGGTTTTTACAGGATGAGGTAGCCAACCTCAAGCCCAACCCTACCCTTAGTCGCCTCCTACGACATGCCTGGTAGGGTGCAATGTCACTGTGAGGGCCCCATTGACACACGGGTGACCTAGCTATCTGAGCCTTAACAAAGGAAAATAGCTGACATTGTGCAGGGAAGTCACAGTGGGGAGGCAAAGGGGCTCAAGAAACTAATAGCCTTGTACAAGAGCCTAATAATAATAATGTGCTAACAGCAAAAAAAAGTTAATAATATATTTGAAATAATATATGTATAAGCAAAATCTTATACAGAGAACTTCTATAATTGGTTTACATTTTTTTTAAAGGGGGAGGGGAGGGTAGCTTACCCTTAAAAATTTTTGGGTGGGGGGGAAGGGGTGCTCGATTATAACTGTGTCATACGGTTTGTACCTGGGGTTCCTAATTCAAATAATGGCTCTTTGAGTCACCTCTAGAGGTGTGCCACTTCATTCGTTCATTAGGGACAGGAGTAAATACATTTTATACTTTAAAAAAATTAATGATGTTTGTATTCAAACAAGATTTTTGTGGCTTATTATCTGTACAGTGTACTTATTTAGGGAAATAGAATTTACAATTTGATTTTGTTGGATCCTGGAATAGATAAATTTAGTTTCCATTATTTGCAATGGAAATATTGCCCTATAACTCGAACGATTTGAATTCGAACACCATCTCTGAACAGATTAAATTCGAATTCCGAGGTACTACTGTAGTATTACTAAGCACATTAACAAGGCTTAGCTCCTTGAGACCCACCCCTGAAAATGTGTAAGGGGCTTAGCCCCGAGAACATTTTCTTTGTGTCGACGCTTCTGAGTAAAATGACAGCTAGCATCTTCTAAAGGATTATCCAACACGTTCCAAGCACAGAACACTTTATTTTGACAGTACGCAATGGTGAGCAGTACCGGTACTTTTTTAGACATACATTTTTCAGCACTACTGTTTAAGACACTTTGTGATGCGTACCGACACGCTTTGTTAGACACCATGTATGGAGTACCAGCAGCTTTTTTTCTAGGGGAGGGGGAACTATGGAGAAAACTATTTTGCAAGCACACATTATGGAGATGAGTATAACCTCTAGTTCACTGCTGCTTTCTTTTTAAATACTCACAAATTAAAGACTAAATGCATTCGGAGAAGGAGAAAGAGGACGAAGAAGAAGAGGAAGGGAAAAAAGAAGGCAAGGAAGCAAAATAAGAAGAAGAGGGATAGAAAGTTGGAGGAAGAAGAAGAAGAAGAAAAAGACAAAGAGGAACAAGAGGAAGAAAAAAAAAAGGGGGGGGGTGGGTGGGTGATGAGGAATAATCCAAGGAAGAAGAAAACGGTAATTCCAGCTATATACGTCAAGCAGCTACTTGATACCGGGCGTTCAACTCCAAATTAAAACAAATCCTATCAGTGAAGTGTCTGATAACAGGTCAGGCTGATCTAAGAATGAACAGTATTTACCGATTCTATATGACAAGAGAGATAATGCTGGATGGGCTGAAACGATGGCATGGAGGGATTTCATCAAGAGAGTTGTTCCAGGCAACCAGGGATTGTGATCTGTGTAGACGCATGAGCGCCTACGCCAGTTGGCAGGGCACATGATGATGATGATATGACAACAGCGGTATTTGGAGAGTGAGAAGCAACAAAGAAATTTATAATCTGTTTAAGTCACCACTGATCACTGGCATCATGAGATCTAATAGACTGAAATGGTTGGGGCATATTGAAAGAATATCAGATGACAGAGAAGTAAAAACTGTAAACACACTGGAGACGAATGGTCGTAGACCACGATGCAGAGCAAGAAGATGATGAAGAGATAATGTCCAGACAGACCTGCAAACACTTGGTGTCACCAACTGGAAAGAGAAGACCAACCAGGGAGATGAATGGAGGCGGGTGATATCTGCAGCAATTGATCTCAAGGGCTCGGAATGCCGAAGAAGGGAAGATATGACAACCAAGAGCACCTCCTTGTAAGGCATCTTAAGCCCATTTTTAGGTAGGGGTGCAAAGGCGCGGTTACCCCCTCCCCCCTCCTCCCCCAGAAACTGTATAAATTGCCCCGCCCCTAGCCATGTATAGATGTCTTTTCAAGTATTTGTTTTCCCGTTTACTATCACTATTGCGTGACATGGGAGAAAAGCCTTATGTAGCACGTCTACGCCGCCTTCGAAGCCGAGATAGGAGACATTATAACACACTTCTCATGGGAACAATTAGTAGAAGTACCTTTGAGTGGCTGCTGCATCGGAGGACTGAGCCTGCATTGGAATACTCAATGTGCAGTGACGTGGATTGTGATAACATAAGATTTCCTATTTCTTCATGTGTGTTTATTTGCCTTTCAGCACAAATATTATCAATAATATTATTATTGCATACTTAAACAAGGTCTAAGCCCCTTGATTCCCCGACTGTCATCTAGAAAATATAAAGGTTTGGGGGGGGGGGAACTGAGTCGGCCCTTTTCAATGATTTCTTGATACTAACATCTTTAGCTATACTGACTGTTCAGCTGTTTAGTCAGTAAAACAGATATGGAGTCTCTCACAGCAGCGTAAAAAAGCCAAGGCTTTTCGTGATTTACATAACTGACATTACTAAAAATTGTCACTAGCAAGTCTGCAACAGCCTACCTGAACGAGAGAGATATATAGAACCAATGCTTATCGATGTCTTCACTGTTTAGAAGGCCACTGAAAACACCACAGCAGTCTCCTGTCCGCTCACAAGTTAGTGGAGAAAGTAGAGAACTGAGCTAAAAATTGAGGTTTAAAACTTGTGTAATAAAGGGAATTTTTGCAAAGGTTTCCTAATTTCGTTAGATAGCTAAAGATAGCATAAATGGGGATTACGTGAGAAAGAAGAAGACTCGCGAAAGCACGAGGTATTTGAACAGTTCTAGTATGACATCACGGGGATTCCAGAACGATGTTTGAAGGACGAGACAAAGGTCTAGTTATTTGCTGTTTCGCAGCCAGAGTAAAAAAGCTGTGTTCCAGAGGAGTGTGAATGTGATATTGTATATCAACACATCAAGGCACAAAGATAGTAACCCATAACTGTTCCGTTCTATTTCTAACTTAAGCCTGAGTCCGAAGAATCTGAGCGCAGTTCACGAACTCTGTAGCACCGGCGAGGATCCTGGGAATACTTTGGGTAGATTTTAAACTCCAAATTTTGCTCAGCAGCGCCGTTAAGCTACTCTTTTCGATTTCCAACTTCCAAGGTTGTTTTTTTAAACGCGCGCAACAATACGTTCTTACTAACAAGAGACCGGGGGAAATTACTAGACGTCTACGTTAAAAAATCCTAGCCTTCCCCGGGGCTTGAACCCGGGACCTCCAACACTAGAGGCTGACGCCATGACACTCAGCCCCCCTTCCCTTTTTTACGCAGATGAGGACAGAAAGACGATAGAAAGCACAATTGCCGTTATATCCTTTATGCTTGATTATAGACTGTACATTTCAATATTTCAGTGTAAGTAACAGAATCGAGAACTTGGTGACAACTAGAGAAATTGACAGAAAAACTGACCCGGGGGTGGGGAAGGGGGGGGGCGCAAAGAGATAATACCCTGATGGCTTGACCCCGTTCATGGGGCGGGGAAAAATTATGACCGCTTATGCTTTTCGGCATGGCATATGATGATGATATTTCCCAAAGGCAAAGGGGGAGGCGTTTGTAGGGGGCGCTGGGCGAATGTTTCACCGAAAAATGTGCAGCGGACCAAAAAAAGTTTGGTAAATACTGCTCTAGCCGCTACATCACAGCGGCTCTCTAGTTTCCATTTATAGA